ACTTGTGTACTTGCAAAAACGCCAATATCGTCAATAAAGGATACTGTAAACAGTAAAACACTTCCAGGCCGAAAAAAACGTAGTGATTTCCGGTCTCATCGCTTGTACAGTGCTCAACAAGATATGATACGAAGAAAAATATATTCCCTTTATGAAAACCAGATTGTCCCTACTTTGAATAAAAATTGAAGTTAGAAGAAGATGAAACAAATATACATATTAGCCGTGCCACCCTCCATAGAGTCATTTCTACAATGGGTTTTAAATATCGCAAGATAGGCAAAAAACAAGTTTTAATTGAATCACAAAGATTGCGTACTTGGAGATATAGTTATCTCTCTGACATTAGGAAATATAGATTAGAAAACAGATCTATCATTTACCTGGATGAAACATGGTTTGATTCACACGATACAGTACAAAAAGGATGGATCGATTCTAGTAGAAACTGCCAGACGAAAGCACCTTCAAATAAACGAAAACGCATAACAATAATTCACGCTGGTTCGGAAGACGGATGGGTCCCAAACTGCTTGCTGTTATCTGCAAAGAATATCAAAGACTCTAGCTTGGACTACTATCAAGATACAAGTGGAGAACTTTTTGGAAACTGGTTTCAAAATTATCTTTTAAAAAATATCCCTAACAATAGTGTCATTGTAATGGATAACGCAAGCTATCACAGTATTTATAGCTTCCATATTTACATCTTTATCAAGAGGTAGATTTCGATACCGAAGAATCATAGATTTTAAAATATATAAGAACTCAATCCTACTGTTGTGTTTTTTGTACTCCATAGGGTATTGGATTGTATGATGAATAAAGATTTTTACTTTTTGTTTTTTATTTTTCACACATGGATACATCTGTCATATATATGTTATGTCAAGTCAAACTTCTTCTTCTTTTTTATAAAATCAGTTGTACCAACTGCTAAGTACAAAAACATTAAAACATAAAAATCCTAACATAGCCCCCTTTGAAGGGAACCTTCAAAATATAAATAATGTGTATTTCACGATAATTGTCTTTATTAATTTTCACTTGAAGCTTCATCTTGGAGAGGTAGTGGATGTAGATGTCTCACAGATCGTTTTAGGACACCTTTTGTAGTGGACACAAGGGATACTCGATGAATACCATCTGGACCAGGAATCAGCTGCAAAATTCGACCTAGTTGCCATTTTTGTGGTGGTAAGTGGTCATTACGGATTAATACCAGACTCCCAACTGAGAGTTTTGACTGTGGAGACTTCCATTTATATAGTTGATGGAGCTGGCTGATGTATTCTTTTGAAAATCGATTCCAAAACTGTTGTTGCAAACGTTGAACAGCTTGAAGTCTTGTGGTTCTATTTTCTGCTACTTCCAGTAAGTCTAAGGAAGGAAGAGAAGTAATAGGATGGCCCAAAAGGAAGTGGGAAGGAGTCAGAGGCTCGTAATCATTTGGGTCATCTGAAATTGCATAGAGCGGTCTTGAATTTAAAATGCCTTCAATTTGAATTATGAGTGTTAAAAACTCTTCATAGGTTAAAATAGAATTTAACAGAGTTCTTTTAAGATGATGTTTCATTGATTTAACTGCGGCTTCCCATAAGCCACCAAAGTTAGGACTGTAAGGAGGAGAAAATGCCAACTTATATTATTGCTAGTTGCATAATCTATTAATGTATTATGATTATTTTGAATAAACTTGTACAATTCATTGAGTTCTTATATGCACCTTGAAATGTTTTACCATTATCAGAATAAATGTGGTTGGGTATTCCCCGACGTGAAACAAATCTTCGCAGACATGCTATAAAACATTCTGTTGTCATATCTGAAATGAGCTCAAGGTGAATAGCTTTAGTTACAAAGCATACAAACACACAAATGTAACCTTTTGTTGTTTTTGCACCTCTTCCCTTTCTGTCTTTTATGTTATATGGACCTGCATAATCTATTCCGGTGACTTGAAATGGAAAAGATGGTGAAATTCTATTATTAGGTAAGCTACCCATAGGGGCAATGGATGCAACTGGTTTGTGTCTAAAACACTGAATACAATTCTTGACAATTTTTTTTGCAAGAATTTTCCCCCAATAGGCCAATATTTTTGTCTGACTGTTGCCAATAGTAATTGCGGCCCTGGATGTAATAAATAGTTATGTTTATGAATAAAAATTAGTTTAGTAAATGGATGAT